AAAACTTTCCCTCCCAAGCTCTCAATAGTTTAAGTGATTCCTTTTATGCAGTTTGTTTGACTCAAAGATTGGAAGGAGCTATGGTCCGCTCTACCTTAGAACCCAAATTATTAAACCTGTTTTTAAGATTACTAAAGGCCCTATGTCAAAGAACTGCTCCCTTTTATATTGGACATATTCAATCACATACGAACCTTCCTGGGCCACTTTCCTATGGCAATGCACAAGCAGATCAGCTTATAGGATTCCTGCCGCAGACCAGCTGCAGTGGATGTAGGGTAGGAAGGGGAGAGGTCCCTGGCTGGCGAGTGAGAAAGGAACCTTCGCAAGCAATGTTCAGGTTCCCTCTGAGAAGTCTCAGGGTCCGATTTATTTTTATATCTTTAAGCAGTAGCTAGGAGGCATTGGGCGGAACGTGTTTACATTTTAGGTTGCCTTAGCAACATCTAGTGAGGTAAGGTTATTTTTACTAAACAGTATGCTTCTCTAAGCTGATTCACTTCATTGAACATCATGAATACATTTCTTAAAAATCACAATTGTCCCCTTATTTTCCCATACCTAGGTAGAACAGAATGTAACTTAATCAAAATCCCCAGAGGGTAACTTAATTAAAATCTCCATATCAGCGGGGGTACAAGCAAGACTTAATTAAATGTCAAACTTGTCACCAGCTGGCCCTTGAGAAACTGCACAACAGTTAATATAGTTTGCTATTAGCTCTCTACCTCTCTATACCTCTATTCATCTTAACTGACTGTCATTTGGGTTCATCGCTCACGAGCAGGAGATATTTTCAGCACTGTGAGAAATATTGAATAACTTGCCCCCTTAATGCATTTACCTGTCCCAACTTTCCGTTTCTTATTTTCCACTATTTCTTACATCTAAAGTCTGTCCTTTCAACCTCTTCATAAGACCCCTTTAGTAATAAGAAGGTCAGCAATAAGGGGGGGAGTCATAGTAGTGGGAAAACAGAGGGGGTTTTAGGAGATGTTTCTTTAGAAGTGGATGTGGCAATAGAACTAAGAGAAACTGGAATTTGGGACTTGTGAGCCAGATCAGATTTCAATACATCATTGCCAATTAGGCTCATGGAGAGTTTGTTGTTAGTCACAAACACAATGACTCCTGTGACCAGAGTAACAATTTTAAACATTATGGCAAGAAAAAATAACACATGAGGGTAAGATGTGTTCCCCTCTCCTTTTCCCCCAGCTGGAACTTTGTCAGCAGCCTTGGAGGTCGCTTGGGCTTCGCCAGATACCTTGCTGCTTTTGAGCGGCTAAGGAATCACATAGTTATTTCCATCAGAACTCCAAGGTACTACAACATGATTTTCAGCTATCTCGAGCTCAGGCACGACAGACAGTTGTGGCTTGTCCTAGTTGCCAGCAGATTCCACGGCCCATTCCCCCTGAGGGAACTAACCCTCGAGGCCTAGCCGCCAATATGATTTGGCAGATGGATGTGACACATGTCCCCTCTTTTGGAAAGTCTTGATTTGTACATGTCTATAGATACATTTTCACACATGATACATGCCACGTGTCACTCTGGTGAGAAAGGTCACCGTGTTCAACGGCACTGCTTGTCTGCCTTTGCTGCCATGGGAGTGCCCAAAAATATTAAAACTGACAATGGTCCATCATATGTTAATAAATTTATCCAAAAATTCTTTCTTATTTGGCATGTTAAGCATAGTACTGGTATCCCGTATAATCCACAAGGACAAGCCATAGTAGAAAGGGCCCTTGCCACCCTCAAACATCAATTGCTTAAACAATCACAAGGAAATCAGCTGCCTCCACAAGCTCATTTAGATCTAGCTGGGTTTGTACTCAATTTTTTGAATCCTGTAGCAGGTTCCACACAACCACCTGCTATGCTCCACTGGCAAACGGATGGCATGGTTAAGACTCAAAAGCCACAAGTCCTTTGGAAAGATGTCCAAACAGGTAAGTGGAATGGCCCCGCTGCCTTAATAACTTGGGGGAGAGGTTTCCCGTGTGTCCTAACAGATAATGAAAAAACCTTGGGGCTGCCTTCCCGGAACATGAGACCGTGGGTCACGCTGGTGGAGCCACCAACATCTCACAGAATGAGTGATAGCACCCTGGCTGAAAGCGATGAGCCAGCTGCACCTCAGGGACCCACCTCACCAGCGACAATGAACAGATCCATGGCAGGGTCCAGGACTGAGATGATGCCCCCAGAGGAATGATAATTATAGATTTATGGTAAAAAATTTATAAAGGTGGGGGACAACTTCAAAATGCTCCTTTAATATTTACAGGTATAAAAGCGCTTTCATTCCTTCTGATTGTAATTTCAAGAGATCTCTGTTAATTGACTATTCCAAAGTTTTTGACCAGTCATACAATTATATATCTAATAATCATAAAAAGGATATTACAATTCAATTTGGCCAAATATATGAGTGCACTCTAATTTTATAAATTGTCTTATATATTTGTCTGT